AATTGGGACAGATTCTCTTGTCTCCAGGCGCCCTCGAGGACTCTATTCCTGTCCTTGGCTTGACCCTACCTTGGGGTGAACCCACCCCCCAGCTCCCGTACTCAGGGCCCATTTATGGAGAAAGCATCAGGGTGTGCAAGGCCTGCCTCACTGTGCCGACCAGGGCACCTGTGACCACATTTTGCCCTGACCTGCTCTGGGCCAAAGGGACCCCACTGATTTTGAACCCCAATCTCATTTTCAGATGGAGAAAGCAAGGTCCTGAGAAGGGCAGAGAAGGCTGGGTCATTCAGTGGCTGGCTAGGAGGGCCCAAATCTCAGGCCACTGCAGAGTCTGCCTCTCTGCCACCTGTGTCAGCCCAACCCATTACAACCCAGGCCCAAGAGGGGCCACAGCACGTGACAGGCTGCCCTGAAGCAGGTGCTGTTTACAACCCAGGCCCAAGAGGGGCCACAGCACGTGACAGGCTGCCCTGAAGCAGGTGCTGTTCTCTGTCCCTGGTGACGCCAGTGAGTGGGTGTCTTCATTCCTCTTGGAGAGGAACTTGGCTTGCAGAACCAGTGGTAGCCAGGACTCCCACTCATGTTGCCAGACCAACAGCTTCCTCTGTGTGGCTTCAGAGTGTATCCAGTGCCCCCTGTGGTGTGTCAAGCTCACCTGTGTCACGGTGCTTTTGCCTGGGGTCACTCTGTGTGTGTGTGTGTGTGTGTGTGTGTGTGTGTGTGTAGGGGTGTGTGCATGAGCTTATGTGTAATGCAGCAGGTGAATATCATGGTACGTGTTACCAGTGCTCTGACAGGGTGTGCCCTGTGGGTGCCCCGAGTCTGCATGCCCACAGGAGAATGTAAGGTTGACCCTAAGCCCTATCTCTTTACTCTTTTGTATAGCATAAATGAAAGTCAGTGAACAGACTGGCCTCAGAAACATCTCTTATCTTGAGACAGAGATGGCATGGCCTGTAGCCAGCTCGTGGCTGGCCGAAGGCAAAGCAAGTCTTAGCAGGGCAGCCCCTCCTGTGTCTGACCTGCAGCTAGGAACAGACACATTCCTGGATGCTCTGGCCACTCGAGCATGGAGTGTGAAGGAGCCCCAGCTGGCCCCCCACTGACCTCTGAGGTCCCAAGTGAACCTTCCTAGTGGAACACCGCTGCCGACCAGCAGACTCTTGCTCCAGACATCCTGCCTTGGATATGATGGCTACATCCATCTGGCACTCATGCTGCAGGCCCGTGTGTCTATGTATGTTTTTGCACAGGTGTTGGTGTTGTCTTTGATCTTGGATGTAAGTTAACACACATGCTGTCTGTGCCTGTTAGTGGTGAGGGCGTCAGCATCTGTGCATGCCCCCATGCTGTGTGCAGCTTTGGGAGCTTCTGTGTGTGCATATGGAAGGGTGCTTTTGAGAATGTATGCATTTGTCGGTGGCTTTGGGTGCTAGTCTGAGCACATGCATGTGTACACGTGGATGTGCTTCCTCAGAGCTGTGTCAGCTATGCCCGCACCTGTGTGATCTGTCCCTGCATGCCTTCCCGTGTCTGGCATGTCTGGGCCTCCTCTCCCACCCTGACAGCCACCCGGGATGAGCTCAGGAAGCCTGAGGCTGAGGGAGCAGCCCCACCTCTGCACCAGTGGTCTCCCCTGCATCTCTCTTCTTCCAACCTCACCCCTGGGTCTCTCTTCCTGGGGTTGCACATCTGGCGCTCAATAAATAATTGCTTGGTGAAGGAATGGATGAAAAGAGGGCTCTAAGGGGAGCAGTCTGGAGATGAGGGTAGGTAGGCACTCCAGGATGGGAGAGAGGCTTCCGGCAGAAACGCCAGTTGTGGACAGGGTCAGAAAGCGCCAGAGGAGGCGGTCAAGGCTGGCCGAGCCTGGGTTGGGGTCAGCAGGGTCTACCGGCCGCCCCGCGTTCCCCGGAGACGTCTCGGGTCATAGTCTGCAGCGCTCAGGCCAGCCGCCCCGCGGGTTATTTATGACCCCCCTCCCCCTCCCTGGCGGCGGCGGCGGCGGCGGCGGCGGCGGCGGCGGCGGCAGCCGCTCCGGCCTCGGCCAAGCGGCGGAGGGCTCCCAGAGGGGGTACCGCGAGCAGCGATGGCGCCGCGGAGGCCCGGAGGAAGGGGAGGGGCGGGGCCTCTGCGGGCCGGAGGAGGGGCTTTGGCCGCCTAGCCCACCAGTGTTCCCCAGGGTGCCGCCAGGCCTGAACGCGAGGCAAGGGGTGATTCAGAGCCAAAATTCTGTCCGTCTGACCTCTGGCTAAGTCAGAAGTGCAGAGGAGCAAACGGAGCCCCAGATGCCAAACCAGGACAGAGGTGGATAGGAGGGAAAGAGTGAGAAGATCCTTGTGGAAGGAGTATAATGTCCAGGAGTAAAGGATGTCTGATCCCGGTGGGAAAGTGGCTCTGACCCTGGGGGCAGAGAGGTCTATTTCCCATGAAGAGGGGTCAACAGATAGGGATGGGGGCAGGGGTGAACTGATTAGCCGAAGCTGGGACAGCCCCTGGAAGGCGGTTTCCTGGGAGTCAGGGAGTGACCCTTGGAGGAGAAGGGGCCCTACAGGGAGCTTTGACCCCAGTCATGGTCTTTTCAGGAAGGCACCTTGGTCCTCCAAAGAGAGGTGCGGCAAGATGGAGGTTAGGCTGGGTGAGCTGGGTCAGCTCCCGTACCTTGCCAGCTGGATCCTGCTCCTAAAAGCCAAAGTTGGGGCCTTCTATGTCCCTCCTTGACCCCTGTGGGCCTGTTCAGGATGAAAGAGGCCAGGGGTGAGTGAGGGGTGGTCCCACAGAAAGGAAGGGAGGCTCCTTCTGCAGGCTACATGGTACCTTCTCAGATCCAGACATCTACTTCACTAGCCTTTCCTCCCCAAACCTCAGTTTAAAGGTCAGGGGTTAGGAGGCCTAAGGGTCACTGAACAAGGTGCAGGCAAACATGAGAAGAACTGAGTGGAGGAAACCATCTTTTGAAAGCAGTGTCAGGGCTGTGGCCAGACAAGACAGTTGGCCTCCCTCTGAGTCCTGATAGCGCCTCCACACTGTGCCGTGACCACAGATTAACACGATGGCTCCGCCATGAGCCTCGGCTCTTGGGCAGCAACTGCCTCCTGCGCCAATTAGAGATGGAGGCACCACACCTGGGAGCAAGACCAGGGCCACAGAAGGTGAATGTGCGTCTAGGGTCTGGCACATGCAGGCGTCCAGGCTACAGATGGGGCAATTGGGCTGAGGGGGGCGAACTAAATAGGGATCACTCACATTCACACTCACATTCACACCTGGCCCCTTACATCCCAACAGGTGGATGTACGAGGGGTAGAGCAGGAGAGAGATGCAGAGATTTGGGTGCCTAGGTTCCCAGACATGTTCCGGGTCTGAGCCCAGACCTCTAGACCTTGCTCCCCAAGTCAGTCTTGGGGCTGGCTTGTGCCTCAGCTGTGGGTCAGGTTCACAGTGTGCATCAACCAGGGAAAGCAGAGCGGTGGCCAAGCGTCAGCCTCACGCCCAGCTGGTGCTGGTGTCTAGTAGGGTGTCTAGGGTAATGGTGTTGTGTTCCCTCATTCCCAGCCCCTCCTTTGAACAAGGTGCCCATGCATATGACCCAGCTCGGCCCCCTAGAGCCTAGTCAGAGAGATTCCAGCACTAATGCCCCGCCAAAAGCATCTCAGAGGGGCAGGGGTAGGGGTCTACGTGCTGGGTTGGGATCTGAGGCTACTTTCTAGCTTGTCTAAAATAACGCACCAGGGAAAGACAAACGTGTCTCATCAGCTATTAGTGGGTTTCTGTTTCTTTTCCCAATGCTCCTACTGCAAGACTAACATGCTGCTGCGCATGGAGATGGGGGGTGGGTAAATCACCTAGGGACAAGCTACCCTCATTCCAGATCTGGGCCGAGGCTGATCTGCTATCTCAGGGCACCAAAGTGGACATGGATGTAGCAGGTTCCTCTTCCCCAGACCAGCTTATAATAGGGAACAGAAAGGTTCTGAAGTGCACAATCCCACATTCATTGGTCCCTCTCTTCCTCCCTACATCCCCCCACCCCCACTCAGATTGGGTCCAGCCCACCTTCCTGCCCCACACCATGGCTCAGATGTTGTCTGTCCTGGTGTCAGACAGCCTGTTAGAGCAGCTGTATGACATCAGCAGAGGTACTTGACCTCTCTGTGTCTTACCTTCCTCGTCTATAAAATGAAGCAAGGAAAACTCATTGAGATGATCAAGTGAACTAAGGCATGTAAAGTGCATAGTAAGGTGGCAATAACTGACAGAATTGTTGTCGTTGTTATTCACAGAGCATGAAGCCTCCCCAGTACATTTGCTGAGGCCACACACCACAAACCCACAGCCTCACACCCTGCAAATGCAGAGACCACCCACGCCCGACAGTAGTGCCCACCACCCACCGCTGCTGTGCAAACACTCCTACCCAGAGCCGCCACGCAAGCAGGTGGTCCCAGATCACCGATCCTTCCTGCGCTAGGAGCCCACTCCGGGTCCTGGGCCCGCCCCCTCCCCACGTGCAGTCCGGGACTCCAGCTGCGCCCAGTGACTTCCTCAACAACGGCGCGATGCGAGCGCGCAGCTTCTCGCTAGCAGACGCCCCTTCGCACACCGGGACTCCCTTTCTCCTATCCTCGTCCACTCGGGAATAGGGCAAGGGCGCATGCAGCCCCGTCCCGCCACCCCCCGCCACCAGCCGCGTGAGCCCAGTCGGCCGTCACGCACCCCCTGCTGGAGCCCGCGCCCGCCCGCCCGCCGCGCCGGGGCCGTTTAAATGGGCCAAGTTGTGGCGGCGGCGGCGGCGGCGGCGGCGGCGGCGGCGGCGGCGGCGGCGGCGGGAGTCTCCCAAGTCCCCGCCAGGCGGGCGCGCGCCAGTGCACGCGGGTGCGCGGCCGGGGAGGTGGGGCGGCGGGGCGGCGAGGCGGGACCGGGTCCTGGGACCCCCGGGCAGGGCGGGGCGAAGGGCCGGAGACTTGTCGACTCCACCGCCAGGCTGGGCCCGGCGGGCAGTCCGGCGAGCGGGGCGCGGGGCCGCCTCAGGGGGCGCGGGCGCAGGTGGCCCGGCGCCCTGTGGAGCCCTGGGGCTCCGGAGCTGCGGCGTTCGGCAGGTCGATAGGGGATCGATAGCAGCTCCCGCGGCACCATGACTCGGGCAGCCGAGGCCCCGCCAGCCGGCCGGGAACCGGTCCGAGGTGGCCTGGCGGGCGGCGCGGCAGCAGGTGCTGGGGTGCAGTAGCGGATAGGGCGGGCGCGCGGCCAGGCGACTCCCGGGCCCCCAGCCCTCGAGATCCAACTCCAGCCCGGGCCCAAACAAGTTGCTCCGGCGGCGGAGAGCCAGGCTACGGGGCCGCCGGCCCGCCATGCCGGCGGTCAAGAAGGAGCTCCCAGGCCGCGAAGACCTGGCCCTGGCTCTGGCCACCTTCCATCCGACCCTGGCCGCACTGCCTCTGCCGCCGCTCCCAGGCTACCTGACACCACTGGCAGCCGCGGCCGCGCTGCCCCCGGCCGCCTCGCTCCCCGCCGCGACCGCCGGCTACGAGGCGCTGCTGGCTCCGTCACTTCGCTCCCCGCGCGCCTACCTGAGCCTGCACGAGGCCGCCCCGTACCTCCACCTGCCCCGGGACCCTCTGGCCCTCGAGCGCTTCTCGGCCACCGCGGCCCCAGCACCGGATTTCCAGCCGCTGCTCGACAACGGCGAGCCGTGCATCGAGGTGGAGTGCGGCGCCAACCGCGCGCTGCTTTACGTGCGCAAACTCTGCCAGGGCAGCAAGGGCCCGTCCATCCGCCACCGCGGGGAGTGGCTCACACCCAACGAGTTCCAGTTCGTCAGCGGCCGAGAGACGGCCAAGGACTGGAAGCGCAGCATCCGCCACAAAGGTGCGGCCGCGGTGGGGGCGCGGGCCGCTACCGTCCCTCCCCTGCGCTCCCCGAGGACCCCTGAGTCCGGACCCCCTCATTCTGCCACCGGGGAGACTCCCTCTCCGCCCAGAGAGGGCGCTGCGGCTCCCGCGCTGCCGCAGGGACACTCCACCCCCAGCCCCCCCGCCCGAACTGGCCCCCTCCCCGCCCCCCGCCGCAACACGGTCGCCTTGGTGGACCCAGGCAGAGCGCCCTCGGCCTCCACCGCCACCCAGCTTGGGCCGCGGTGCCCTGGGCTCCCGGCTGCACCCGAGCCGACCCCTCCTCCCACTCGGAAGGTCTCTGCGGGATCCCTGGGCATTGCGGCTCAGGGGAAGTTTACGGGAACTCGGGAGCCTGCGGGAGGCCGGCTGGGCGGGACCCACTTCCCTCCCGGGTCGGCGAGCCACCCGGTTCTGGCGGGAGTGGAGGGACACACATGCGGCCGGGCTGCGGGCGGGAGCTGGTGGAGGGGACGCGAAGGTGTGTGAGCGGCGCAGGCAGGTGGGGGCCGCGGGGCCGCGCGTCGGGGCGGGGGCGCGCGCGGAGCTGGAAAGGCAGCTGGGCTGGAGGCAGCCTGCTTGGAGCGTTCAGGAGTCTGGCTCCGAGGGCGTGAGGTGCGGGCGCCCGAGGAGGGAAGCAGGGGAGGCGCGGTGAGCTCCAGGCGCGGGAGTCGGGGGTCGTTAGAAAGTTAGGGACCGGGTGGCGCTGGGTTTTGGGGTTCGTGGCTCAGCTGTGGCTGCCCTCTTCCCGCCGCGGGGTCAGGCTTAGTCCCGGGTCCTGGCGGTGCCGTTCACCTGCGCGAAGGATCGACCTTCTCGGGCCCCGTTCCCAGTTCCCGCAGACCGGCTTGGCTTGAGAGGGTAGAGCGCGGGAGGGGAGACACAGTGCGGGGGGCGAGGGGAGGAGGCCGCCCTTGGTCGGGGGAGGGCGCTCGCCCGGAACTAGAGTTTCTGAGCTCTGCAGATCCCCGTGGCGTCCGCGAGGGTGGGGTGGGCGGCAGGGCCCGGGTGGTGGGTTCGGAAGTGGGACTGAGGTGGTTGTTCGGACGCGCGCAGGGAGGGGGAACCGGCCTTGCAGCTGACTGCGCCCCGAAAGCGTGCCCGCGTGCGCTGGCTCTTTCTGTGCCCAGCCCTGCTCTCTCACTGGTCCTGCCTTGGCTCTCCTTACAGGAAAAAGTCTGAAGACGCTTATGTCCAAGGGGATTCTGCAGGTGCACCCTCCGATCTGCGACTGTCCGGGCTGTCGAATATCCTCCCCGGTGGTGAGATGTGGGAGAAAAGTTGGGGCTTTGGGGTCTTCTTTCTCCCCTGCGGAGCTTGTACCTGTTTTCTAGGATCCAGAGTCCTAACCCCAACCCTGCCTGGGTGCAGGAGGGAGCCCCTGAAGAGCAAACAAGGGAGACTTTGCTTTGGGTGGGTACCCTGGGGGAGCCCTCTCCCCTTTGGATGCAGGGCCTGATCATGCCTATCTTGGAGCCACTTGAATCCTAGAAGCTGCTTCACTTGAGGTCCTGGGGACAGCCCAGGGTGTGAAGGTCTCCTCCCTGGACAGTGTGATCCAAATGTGGTCTGGGGGCCCTGCCTTGTCACATGTTGGGGGGGGGGTCCACTGTGTCATCTGGCTCAGGCTAGGAGAGAGGCTGGTCCCAGGGTAACACTTGTTCTCAGATGTGACAGTGTTGACTGGCCTGGATGTGCATTCTGGGGTGGTTACAGCTTAGCTGTGACTGACTACCCTGTGTCTCTGGGATGCCAAGTGCTAGACCTCTGCTGGACAAGCCTCTGGATGTGCAAGAGAACCTGAGGATAGAACCCAGTTAGGGGCAGAATCTGAGCAGTGAAGGCCGTTAGTGTCAAGAACTGGGGTTGGAGGCCGATGTGGGGCCCCCAACCCAGTGCAGACATATACTGATGCTCTCATTGGTCTAGGGGAGCAGCAGAGATTGGGGTGCCGTGCCTGCCCCTGAAGCACTGTCTTCCATATCACATGTCCCCCAGGCAGCAATAGTTGGAGGATTGATCTGAAGAGGAAATTGTTTCTTGGGAGGAACTAGTTTTGAGCTGCTGGGGAAGAGCCCATTAGGGCTCTGGCTCCTGGCGGTGGTTAGGGTTTTGCTGCTAATCCTGGCACCATCAGCAGCACCCTCTCACGGGAAGGGCTGAGAGAGGACCCAAGACACCACCTTCAGCTTCTTTACTTTAGACTGGAAGGTGGAAGGAGGTAGGGACGCCTTGGTGTCCTTGTGGACCCTGGAGGTAGGTGAGCTGGGGAAGCTGGGAAGCCACAGACACATCTGTGAAGACAGACACCAGATCAGACACACAAGTTGGACAGGGGAAGAGGTTACAGCCACGCCTCACCTGCGTACCTACCCCACACACCTGCCTGACATGGGCTTGTCACCAGAGTATGTGTGCTCAGGCAGCCCACCTCCTGCCCACTGCCATGCTACCTGCCTGCTGCAAGAAGGTGAGTTCCCTCTCCACATAGGCACCTTTTCAAGCAGCTGGTACTGGAGAAGAGTCCTCTGGGCACCTTCCAGGCTGGCCAAGTTTCTCTTTGGGTCAGAGGGGCCCAGCCTCTCCCAGCCCACCCTTCCAGAGGCTTCTCACAAGAGTGTGGGGTACAGGTGGCCTGAGCCCAGTGTCAGTTTCCCCAGGACACTGCTTGGGTTGCGGGCAGGGTGGGTGGGTAGGTAGACAGGGATGAGGCCACAGCCTAGGTCCGCCTACTTATCTGGGGCTCCCAGGTCGCTGCCCGACAGGAGGGATGCCTCGGACCTGGGCCTGCCCCTCCTGAGCCCGGCCCCTCCAAGGCCTATCGCTGTACGCCACCCTTAGGAAGGAGCTCCACAGACCCCTTGTCTTTCCAGCCCCCACCTTTGCCACGTAGAGATTGCCTTCCTCCATCCCCCACAGCCAGGTCAAAAGCTGTGCACACACTTCACAGTCACAGATACTCCAGGGGCAGAACATGGGTGTGCACGTGGCGCAGGGATCATGCAGTCATGCAAGCTGGCTTTCATGTACCCACCCTCGCACTCTGAGGAGCCGGTGCCTGACTAGGGGCAGAGGCTTGGCACCCAGCTTTCAAATCTGGGCTGCTCAGCAAGGGCTGAGGTCTTGGGTGTGCACGGGAGGCAAGTGCGTCCCCTGTCTTTGGCTGGGGTCAAGACTGCCCATCCTGGTCCCTCTTCCGCAGCTGCCCTTTCACAGGAGCCACCCCAGGCCAGCATAACTGGTCAGGCTTCATCCCAAGTGGCAGTCTTAGAGTTCTCCTTTCCCTCTCCCTTTCCTCTCCTACAGATGAGAAGCAGAGGGAAATGCATTTCCTTTTCTTCTTGAGAGAATAGTTTAATTAAAGCAGAAAGGAGAGGAGGTCCTGGTGCTTGGGCTATAATAGGTTAGAGAAGGGCAGAGCTGAGTGCGACTTCCCAGCATGCACACTTCAGACAGGCCAGGGGCTGTTGAAAACACTCCCCCTGAAGCCCACTGGCTGGCACAGAGAGGCACAGGGACCAGACAGACAGTCACACCTACAGCCTCACCCACTCTCCACTATTGCCAATAGAGCACGGGGCCAAGGCCAGGGTCTCAGAAGGGGCCACAAAGCAGGCCCTTTCATCTTTCAGGCCTAACCCTCAGACTCCATTGCCCACCCCGCCCCAGGGCTATCCTGTGTACCTCACTGAGTGTGATGCAGGGAGGAACACGGCGGGTGTCCCCAATGGATTCATAAGGGCAAGAATGGGGGAGACTGGCTCCTGGAGTCTGGGGGCGGCGGGCTTGGGGGTTGGGGGGCAGTGATGGGGGGAGAAGACTAGGGCTCCCTGGCGCTCTTGGCACCACCGCCCAGATCTGGAGCTTGGGCGGCTGGGTCTGAAGGGACCCTTACTCTGGAGGCCAGGACTACTGTGGTGGTTGCACAGCTGTCCATTAGGTCCAGGATGACACTGGCGAGGCAAGACCCTCCTTCACACCTTCCTCCTCAGGCTCATGGGCTTGGTGGCCTCGTCCTGGCAACAGGGAGAGGGTGTCTGAGGAGGCCTCGGTAACTGAAAAGATGAGAATTAGATAATCCCAAGGTCCCTGCCGCCTCCCTGAAACAGCAACCTGTTATTAAATAAGAAAAGGCTTCCTGCCCACCAAAAAATAATCAATAACTTTTTTCTTCCACTGGGGCAGCAGGGCCTTTGACACTGGAGGGAGCCATGGTGTAGAGGGACCTTGCCTGTCACACGAGTGAGGGGTGTGTACCCACTGGTGTGTGAACATGCTCTGAGCATGGACAAGCTGCGTGTGGAATGCTCCCCACGACTGCGCACAGGACACGCCTTCCTGCCCTGGTCTAGCACGCAGCACACACACGCATTCCACACGCTCACGACAGAAGTCCAGGGAGGGGAGAAGTAGGTGTTGTAAAAGAAACTGAATCTCTGTTTCTGACCCAGAGGGTGGGCCCCGAGTGGGTCCACAGGTCTGGGCTAGTAAGGGCTCCCCACCAGGTGACCTGTGAACCCCAGGACTTCAGTTTGCAAGGAGTCAGCAGGCTCAGGCCCCAGACTCGGGCTTCACACCACCCCTGAGCCGGACCTTGTATGGCTCTCAGAACAGAAAAAGGACTTGGCATCGGTGGGGGGTTCACCCAGGAGCTGTGTGGGATTGTCTGGCGAACAAATGCGGACAGTGGTTACCGCACGTTGAACAAGCGACAGAACACAGACCTGCTGCGTTGTGTGGGTGCTCACGGCCTCTTGGGGCTCCCGGGAGCCAGGAGAGCTGGGGCTGGCCTCCAGGTGGACATCCCTGCACTCAGGGTGATCGCCTGTGGAGGGAGCTGGGCTGGAGTATGGAGTCTGGACAAGGCAGTGTCCTGAGCAGCCTGGCCAGGGCCCGCAGCCCTTCACTTCACCCCTCTCCAGGATGGCATGGAGCAAGGAAGGTGGTCTGTGGAGGGGCCGCTGACCCAGGCCTCATCTCTGCTCTCGTCTTTGCCTCTGGCCACTGGGGCTCATGTGGACCCTGGGGCCTGTACTGCAGGCTAGAAGCACCTTTGCAGGGCCAGTGATGGTCCCCATTTGATCTCCGTGGTTGCTGCGGGAGCTTCTGTCACCCAGGCCCTGCCCGGAGGTTGGGCCTGGGGTGCAAGCTACCCAGGAGGCTGAGGGTCCCGTGTCAGCCTAACCTTCCTCCCCTCCCTCCCTGCCCAGAACCGGGGGCGGCTGGCAGACAAGAGGACGGTTGCCCTCCCCACCGCACGGGTCCTGAAGAAGGAGCTGACCCCCAGCTTCGTGGCCAGCGATGGTGACGGCGACGGGAATGGCCTGGCCTGTGGGCGGCGGCCAGGCTTGAAGCAGGAGGGAACCCCACCTGTCCGTATCATGAAGAGAAGGTACTTTTACCGACGGCCGGGTGGGAAGGCGCACAGGCTCTGGCTGTGGTGCTGTGGAGGGACGTCGAGGCTGGGGCCTCCCGGCAGCTGAAGGCCAGGCCGGGTGAGGGCCCTTTGCCCTCAAGACAGGGGCCAGTTTAGATTTTCATGTCTTGCTATCTGCTGAACCCCTCCATGCCGCAGGACCATAGTGAGAACCCACTCTGCCCCCACTCAGAGGGAGGGGGTCGACGTGGTTCTGTGTGAGGAAAGAAGGAGGCTGGGTCAGGGGCTCTAGAAGGAGGGCAGTCACGAAGACCCGGGAAGGGATGGCCTGGCGCCACCACAGCTGGATGGCGAGGAGGGAGCCGAGCAGACCCTCTCTGGGAGCAGCCCCTGACGCACCCGTGCTCATTCTCCTTGGCAGGCAGCAGCTCTCCTGGCTTCTCACCGTCCCTTCCCGGCTTAGGGTCACTCTTCCTGACTTCCCACCCTCTCCCCTCCTGACAGGCACCTCCCTCTGTCCACCCAGCTCTTCATCCATCCATCCATCTATCTGTCATCTGTCCATCCATCTGTCTGTCCATCCAGCACAAGTCACACATCCCCAGAGTCTCAAGGCCTTTTCTCTTCTCACCTAGTCTTTTAACATGTTCCAGTTTCTCCTACCTTCAAATAACCCTCCCAGCCCCCCAACAGCCCCACTCCCCAGCCCCCAGACCCCCACTTGCTAAGTTGACACACCCACACAGGCTTCCAACCACCCTCCCTCAGCCTGAGGGTCTTTCTGGGAACACTGCTGTGGGTGAGGGCATAGGCACAGGGCAGAGCTGTTTCCTCACGTGACCTGTCGTTCTGGCATCCCTCCTACCTACGATGTGTGGTGGTCACTTTCAGGAGGCAGACTGGTAGCACCTGGGACCCGGGCAGCTGCACCCACCTGGGCTGACACTGGACCATTGGTGCTAGTGGCAGCCATGGCCCTTGCTCTGTGCCCTAGTGCCAGCCTGGCCGAAGCAGCTCTAACGACAAGCGATTTGGGTTCAGTCATATGGCTCCTGGGCAGAAGAAGCCTCAGCCCACCCTGCCCCCTCAGCACAACGTGGCGGCTCTTCTGGGTTCAGTGCACCAAGGGGCAGAGATATGGCAGCCTTGATTCCGTCCTTCCCAATTTCCTTGTCTCATGAGACCAGGAATTGGCTCCTACCCTATGGTTCTATCCAGCCACCGGCTGGTTGAGCTGGTACCAGAAGCCACAGGAGACAAAGCTGAGCCAGCCCAGTTCCCTTGGGGCCAGTGCTCTGGGGCAGGTGAGGGCCATGCCACGCCCATCTCCCGGTGTTCAGGTGCTAGTTCCTGGAGGCCGCTTTGACCCTCTGCTTCTCTCCTTGCAGAGTCCACACCCACTGGGACGTGAACATCTCCTTCCGAGAGACGTCCTGCAGGTAGGGTCCGGGTCTGGGCCAGGCTGTACATGGGCAGGATGGAGCCTTGTTGCTCTATTTCCCCCGGGTCTGCTCTCTAGCCTCCCTCCCTCCCTTCCCTCCTTACTCTGTGGTCTGTCTGTCAACTTGTGCCCAGGCCTTGACAGCAGCACAGGTGTGGGTTCTGGGCAGCCCAGTCCTGGAGCCAGAATGCACTCCCCCTCCCACATGAGACTGGCCATTTGAGTCCATCTGCCCAAAGATGAGGCCATGACCTCTCCCTGTCACCCTCCCAAAGACCCACCTGGAGGTGAGAATGGTGATGTGTGCATGAGATCTTATAGGATGCATAGGCATTTACTAGGGAAAGAGGAAGTCTGCAAAGATATGAAAGAAAAAGGGAAGGGGATGTGTGGGATGGGGGGTGTTTTGGGGGCAGCTGGCAGGTCTGACTCAATTGAATGCTAAAGAACTTTGGATGCTGAGCCTGTAGGGTCCTCCAAGCAGCAAGAAGCCACCAAAAGTTCTTGAGCAGAGGAGTGACAGAGTGTTTTGATGGGGTCCTTCTTAGAGGCCCTGCCCAGGAGGCTGGAGGTTTGCCCCAGTACACGGCACTTGAGGCTGTGGAAGCATGATGGAGGGCAGTGGGGCTGTAAACCCAAGACTTAGTACGGAGAGAAAATGAGAGGACCTGATGAGGAGGTTGGGGGGCATGGAGAAGGCCCAACTTCCAGGTTCCAGAGGGCCAGAGGATGGTCAGTCTGTGGATGAAGCCCAGGCTGAGGTTTCTGGTTGTGGAGTCAGGTCTTACCATGGGGTTTGCAAGGAGGGCAGAGGAAGGGGCCAACCCATCAGGTTAGGAGCTTGCCCTCCCCACTCCCAGGGTGGCCCTGTACCGTATGTGTTCTTATTTACATCTCTGAAAATGTTTGGGTCCTAGAGCTGAATTACAATAAAAACATCTTCAATCTTATTTCCACCTCATTCTGGAGTTGCCCACTCAACTGATCATTTTTATGAACCGTCATGAACATTGATGACATTTTATGAGCCTTTTACTTGGGAAGCTACAGGATAAATTTGTCAGTGAAGCTTATAGGGAACCCAAGGGAGGTTCCTGCATTCCTAGAATGACTCCTCCTGCCTGCAGCCCCCTCCTCACTCACCCCTGGCCTTGTAAAGTGAGAGAAGGTCCCAGGTGACCAAACACAGGGGGCCCGTGGTAAGAGGCCAAGTCCAAGTGCATATGGGCTCCTTCACTCTTGCACAGGCCCTAGAGGTGGCTGGGATGACTTTCTGGATTTTACCAGTGGTGAGATTGCAGTTTTGGGGCAGAGGCATAGCATGGTCAAGAGGACTTAGGGCCCATCTGCCCATCCGCCCCCTGCCTGCTGATGCAGCACCTCGGCATCTGGCCAGGCACACAGCCCAGCTGCCCTTACACTGCCCCCACCCCAGCTCTGTCTTTGTCTCTTCCTGGCTCCTTTTGGCCCTGTCCATCTGTCCTTCATCTCTAGTCTCCTGTCTATTCTCTAGGCTCTGTCCCTTCATCTCTCTGCTATTCTCATCCTTTCTGTCTCTACATCATCCATCCATTCGATAGTGCCTGTCTGTTCATATGTCCTCATCTCTTACTCTCCATTTGTCTGTCTGTCTCCATTCATTGGTCTTCATCTGTGTGTTCATCCATCTGTCCATCAGTTCCATCCACTGGCCCACCTGCCTGCTTAAAACTCCCACTTCAGTGGCCATGCACCCCAGGCAGCAGGCAGGAGATATGGTCCCTGCCCTCCTGAGGCCCCTGGATTGGCTATGAAATGAGCAAGGACTTGACAATATGACAGTCGCCGAGGGAGCCTGGAGGAGCCCAGGGTGCCCCTTAGAGGGAGGTTGGGTCCAAGGCGCCGGACCCTTCTCCCTCACCCTCGTGGCATACCCTCCTCCATGTAGCCTTTCTGTCACTTGGGCTCTCCCTCCTCACCTGACACACAGCTCCACTCCACGGTGCCACAGAGAGCCTCCCAAGTCCCTTAGGGGCTTTGTCCCTTGTGCACAGCAGGATGCAGAGGGTGTTTTCATGGTCATGGGAACTTCATACTTGGGAGGCCAAACGCAAGGTTTATGCATTTTCACCCTGGCGTTTCTTTGTAGTTCTTTATATAAAACCTGGCATAATTGGTTGAGTGAGTGGTCAGATGGCTGAACGTTTTCCAGGGCCAGGCCAGGCTGTCTTGGGGCCTATGGAATAAACCCCCAAGGCAGAGAGCAGGGGTGTGGTGGGTGGCAGTGTTCTGATTCCCACTAGGTCTCACTTCCATGGTGCCCCAGCACCACTTGAGTGCCTGAAAAACCGACCTGTGGAGTGAAAGAGCTGATGGCCATGGTGGTTGGGGGCGGCGGGGGTACAGTCCCAGGTCCCTGTGTGGCATGAACTGGACTAAGGGTTCATGGGGAACAAATTGATGGGCCCTGTCCTCACCCACCCAGTCTGCCGGGAGCTGGTTCACTTCCTGTAGGAGCTCTGGGGACACCAGAATTGGATCCCCTCAGGGAAGCACTTGCAGGCAGTCTCTAGACACCCCTCCCCCCCAGTGCTGAGGACAGCAGTTCTCTCCTCAACACCTTCGCATCAATGAGGATGATGGAGGGATGAGAATTGCTGCCAATTAATCCCATAAAGTACTTACCCCACCCCACCTGCACTCCTGTTTGCTGGGGGGGGGCGGGGGGGGCGGGGCGCTTCTCTCCTCCTGGGAGAGGGTGTGGGGGTGGGGAGAGAAGCCACATCTGGGTCTCCCAGAAGGCTCTAGAGCCCAGCCCTGGAGTCTTTGGGGGCTGAAACTGATCTGCTTAGGGGCCAGCCTGGATTAGCCTACTCCAGCCGCCCAGGCCAGGGGGGCTGGGGGCTACTTAATGAGGTTTAGGGTCGGTGCCCAGGTCACTCCGTGGAGGCCCTCTAGCAGTGGCCCAGCTGGGAGGCTGCTCTGTTACAGGTGGGCCAGGGCACAAGGGTCCTGGGGAGGGTGGGGCGCCCAGAGCCCTCTCTGCTCCTCTTCTGTTCTATCTTGACTTCCTGTCGCTCCAGGCTGTATCTGTGAGGTGGCAGGCAACCCTTCTCTGTGCCAAGAACATCAAGGGCAGATGGGGTAGGGGGCCATTTACACACACAGTTGCACTGAGACCTCACTCCATCTTTTCTTGGGACTCTGTAGGATTTAGCTGATTTAGCAGGAAGAGGAATGAGGAGACAAAAGAGTTAAATACATGTTTATTCCAGGCCCACACGTGCCTGGTGGCAGAGGCTCTTAGCTGGAAGCCTTGGGGAGAGCAGAGGGTCGCGAGCACATCGGGAGGACCAGGCTCCCCATTCACGTTGGACGTCTGTGTGTGTGTGTGCGCGTGTGTGTAGGTGCGTGCTCTCGTAGGCCCGTATGTGAGGGTGCACGTGCCCCTGTGTGTGCCCACATTTCATGGGCTGCAGGACTTTGGTCTGAATCTTGGTTTCCTTATTTGAAGAAATTGGGGGTCTGTGGGTGGTTACGAGTTTTAGTTGAAATAGTGCGTGCAACTTCCTTAATAAAGCAGCTGGCACAGTAGTTAAGTGCTAGATAAGTGGTCTGTGTGCGTCTGGCAGTATGCGTCCTCTCTGGACACCGGTCCTCATGAGCAGACACCCCCTTGTCTGGTGATTGCTCCGGTCACTCTGGGGAAAGCCCGGCAAAATTGAGTTGCGCTCCTGCGCTCTGGGGACTGTGGCGGGGCCCGAGTGTAAGGCCCCACGCCAGGCAGACACTTGGCAGGTCCTAGTGGTCTTGGGTGGGGCTGGATAGGTCACACCCTCTAGATGTGTCCTCAGAGACTGGCTGTGGGGCTGCCCACATGCGTGCCACAGAGAGGTGTGCAGGAGGCATTGCACACTTATATGTTGTCCTCGGGCTCTATGCGTGCCCACACTCGAGCTCAGGCATTTGCGGTGCCCAGCACTGGGCACACAGCCTCTTGGGGTCTCACCTTCACTGTCTTGCTTCACTGCAGCCAGGACAGTGACCTGCCCACCCTCATATCCAGTGTCCATCGCAGCCGCCACCTCGTTATGCCCGAGCATCAGAGCCGCTGTGAATTCCAGAGAGGTGGTGTGGAGATTGGCCTGGGGGCCGCAGGTGAGGAGCTGGGGGGGGGAGAACAGGGTCGCCAGGGCCACCACAGCTCCGCCTGAGGACAGCCTGCCCTGCCACCCTCCCAGTGTCTCTGCTCGGCAGCTCTGGATGCCGCCACCCCCAGCAGCCTTGGCTGGCAGCCAGGGAGGCCAGCGGAGGCGGGAGGTGGCAAGGCCGGCTGTCCCCTGGGGCTCCATGTGATGGTAATTGTGTTAATCCCGGCCAGCTGGGCAGACAGGAGGCAGAGGCAGTGGCTCCACCGTGGCTGCTTCTGGGGTCGGCTTGGAGTGGTTAAGGCCACTGCTACCCCCTTCCCATAGGAGCAGAAGCAGGGAGGACAGTCAGGGATGTGCAGGCCTCACAGAGGCTCAGAAATGCACATCCTGAATGGCTCACTTGAGGGCTGGGACATACTCTACAAGCATAAGAGTGCCCACCAATCCCATGGAGCACAGGCACCTGGAAGAAAGAGGTCCATTGCCTAAGAGATGGGGGACCGCTGCAGGGGTGAGGCAGGAGAGTGCTGGCTCAGAAGCTCCTGGGGTCATCTCAGAGGGTCATCTCAGAGGGACGGCTCCTAGAGGCGGCAGGAGTTCAGAGGGAGGGGCAGCTGGGGGACACCACCCTCCTCCAGAGGAGTAGCCCAGAGGGGACTTGACTATAAGGCTTTGCTGCAGAGAAGGGGAAGGAGGGGAGGTAAAAGCAGCTGGCAGGGGTCCCTTGAAGTCCTATGGACCCTGGGCAGGGAAGTTTCCAGCAGTGGCTAGAGCTCTCAGAAAGGCTGGGGAGAAGAAGGTCATCCCCCATTAGTGCCCCCAGGCGTGCCTGTGCCTGGGAAGGCCTTTGTGGGGTGGGTGTGAGGGGGCTGCTTCTGGAGCCTTGTGGGAGGCGGCTGAGCAGGCAGCTGATAAAATCTAATTGCCCCATCGATCCAGCGGAGTGGCGGGAGCCACACAGTGATTGAGATATTCTGAGCCAGCAGGCCCTCCCCGTGCTGCGCGTATGCACGGAGACCTCCTCACAGTTTACCGCACGGGCGTGCATGTGCGCCCTCCTCCCAGCTGGGCTGCGTGCTTGGGGGCCTTAGTGTGGCCCCGCACCCAGTTCCCACCCCATGTCTGGGTGTCACTGTGCCATACACCTGTGTCCTCACTCTCACTTTATGCTGAGACGGGCGTGCAAGGGTGTCGGGGGTCACAGGTGCTCTGCGTGGAGTCACATGTGTGCACCGTGTCCAGGTTTTGTCAGAGATCACCCTCTCCTCGGGGCCGCAGTCCCCCATCGGCTTCTACAGTTCCTGTGGGCCCTTCAGGGGACATTTGCCTGCCATCACCTCCTCTTGCTTCCGCAGGAGCTGCTTGTCAGTCTCATTCCCACAGCCACAGCCCTGGTCCTTCCCTGGATCCTGGACAGGGAGGGCCATGGAGGACTGTGGGGGGCTCAGCTGGGGTCCGTGCTGGCATCTTACGACTGTGGGTCTTTGAGTGAATGTGGCCCTCATCAGGGGCCAGTGAACCCCCCAGATCTCCATGGCAAGACCTTATGCAGCCACAGGGCCGGGTGTCACTGTGGGTCCTTCTGCCGCCAGCAGCACCTCCCCTAGACAGAAAGGAGCCCTCATCCCCCAACAGAAAGGGTAAGGGAAGGTTCCACTGTGGAAAATGGGAAACAGAACTCAGGGAAGTGAGGGTGCTGGGTTCTTTGCTAAACCCAAAAGGGGTGTGTGCAGGATGGGGTTGGAGCCAGCCCAAAGCCACCTCCCAGCCTGGCACAGCTGGATGTTGTGGCCCTCCTGCCCGCTGGGCCCTGATGCCCCAAGGCTATTGGGGGCTGGCCCTCATGCTGGTTGTGCCCCCTACCTGTCCTGCCAGGTCACTGAGGTGGGGACCCTTCAACCAAGCAGTGAGGGCCTCCTCTCCCAGGGCAGGGCCTGGGGTTGGGCTGCCGAGCCCAGGCCGGTGGCAGCGAGGTGGCTGAGATCAATAAGTTATTAGCACCATTCTGTCAGCTGTAAAGTGGAGATTGATCGGCCTCTCACTGCTGCCGCACTTCCCCAGCCTGATAAAAATGACAGATTAAGGGAATAAGAGAAAGGAATTAGGCCCTGGGAATTAGGCTTCTGGGAAGCCTGCCTTGCTGAGGTGTCTCGGCAGGCCTGGTTCATAGAGGGGGTCGCCCCCTCACCCCACCCACCCAGGCAGCCTCTCAGGTTAGAGAGGGGGCCAGAGCACCGGATCTGGCCTGGAGGCCAGCACTCTGGTGGGCCCGGGGGGACCAGGGCATCTGCTGAGCTGTTCAGTAGAGACCCCCACCCTGGGCCCTGAGCTCAGGAAGGAGGGGCTGGGATGGAAAGGGGCTGCCTTGGGGAGACAGAAGAGTATGCTTTAGATGTAGGACCTGAGAGAGGCCTTCAGGAGAGGAGTGGGGCCAGGCTGTGTACAGCAGGTGAGACTGCTCAGGGGTGTCCTCAGGAGCTCAGAGCCCGGCTGGGCAGGTAGGCAGGTATGTGACAGGCAAGGCCAGGATGCTGGCTTAGGCCTTCTGAGGGCAGCGAGGGGTGTGGCCTTGGTAGAGTTACCCAGGAGTTGATGTGGCAGGTGTGCCTGACCTTGGGGACTTCAAGGTGGGCTTGGGGGCCTGCTGCTTAGGGACTTCCCTGAGCAGGTGGACGCTAGGGGAGGGAAGGTGGTTTCCAGTCTAAACCAAAGCCTTCCATTCCTCTCCAGCAGAATGATCAGGAGGGACCATTAATTTTCGCAGGAGGCTAGTCTGGATGGGTAGGGGCAGCAGGGTGCCTGTGGAGCCCTAAGCTGCCGGCTGAGGCTGCTCCCACAAATCCCCCGTCACAGACACGTAGGCCCCAAAGCCCCAGATCAGAACTGTCCCTTGACCTGTCCAAAGCCTGGCAAGATGTCCTTGACTGAAGGCCTGGGACCCTGGGCTGGGAAAGGCTTTGACCTGGCCAGGACCCAAGGGCACCTGAGCAATGACAGACTTCGTTCTGCACTGAGCCAAGGCTGGCAGGGACTGAGGCCTGGGCTGGGTCCCTCCCTGCCCCTGGCCCTCCCAGCCTCCATCCCCTCCAAGCCCTGAGACACAGGATGGGGCTCACTCTACCCTCCCCTAGGTGACCTGTTGGGCAAGAGGCTAGGCCGCTCCCCTCACATCAGCAGTGACTGCCCATTGGAGAAGAAGGCACGAAGCAAGTCACCCCAAGGTGGGAACTCAACTTCGAGGTGGAGGGACAGGTCCCAGAGGAGGGAGGGAGGGATAACAGACCCTGCTGCTGGGCAAAATCAGCCCCACAGCAGGGTCCAGGACAAGGTCCTGCCTCTTTCCCATGGCAGTATCTGAAGGAGAATCCCCTCACCTTATGCTCCCCCCAACACAGAGACTCTGTTGCTGCCAGAACTAGGGCCCAGCATGGCCCCTGAGGATCATTACCGCCGGCTTGTGTCTGCCCTGAGTGAGGCCAGCACCTTTGAGGACCCCCAGCGTCTCTACCACCTGGGTCTCCCCAGCCACGGTATGTGCCCCCTCCCCATGGCATGATCCCCCACCAAGTGTATACCTACGTGTGCTGGGCTCTGGCTATCCCTGGAGGCCTCTGCTCAGTGTGAAAAGAGGCCCTGGGGTCTTTGGCTACTGAGACCAAAGCTGGGTTTGGATGCTGGTCTGTAGGCCCCTCAGTCTCTCCAAGCCCCTTGTAGGTGGGCAGTGAGGAGTGACTCTCCTCCTCCCTCTGCCCAGGCAGCCACTTGTTTGGGTAGATGTGGGGGATTCCCCAGCTCCATATCCCCATAGTCAACCCCCACTGTCTCCCAGACTCTAGCAGAGCCACGCCTCACTTGTGACACATAAGCACTGTCATTTCACAGGTGAGGAAACGGAGTCTGAGGTGAGCCCCAGTGAGAGTGGGAGGTGGGGGTCGAACCAGGCCCACCTGCCCCTCTCCAGGACATGCAGCTTCTCATTGTCCGCTGGTCCATATGCGGTAGGCCTTCCTACTCAGCTGTGTGAGCTTGTGCTAACCACCCCACCCGGGGTCAGCCTGGGCCTCTCGGCAGGAGGGACCGAGAGCAGGGCCGTAGTCAGGCTGGGACACCCAGAAGGCAGAGTGGGCAGCAATTGGGGTGTGGCTGCCAGGACCTCACTGGTGCTCAGGAGAAGCTCCAGCTGGAGGTGTGGTCCCTGCCCCACCTGGTTCCTCGCCCTGTGCTCTGTCCATCTGTCCTTCCTGCTTCTCATGGACACACGTTCACCCACCCACCAGCTGACACCCGACCAGCTGCGCCTTGGCCTGGCAGACCCCAGCCCACGGGTGCTGCCACGGGCTTGGCTTTTCCGGCTGGAGGCGGTGAGGGGTGCTGGGAAGGGGGCAGGACTTCTCCTTACACAAGGCACTGTCCCCCAGGGCAGTGAGGCACTGAGAGCCTGAATAATTCACCAAATGTTAATAATTTAAAAATCTTCCTTTTTAATTGCTTTCCCTGCCCTGCCTGGGGCCCGCTCGGCTGGCCTGCACGGGGGAGGGGGCGCCGGCCACCGGGGAGCAGCGCCGGGAGCCGGGCTGTCAATCATGGCCCTGCGCCGCCGCCGCCCCCGCCGCGGAGCCGACTGTAAATAACCGAGGCCGTCGGGCGGGCGCGGGGGCGAGGGGCCCCGCTGGGATCGATGCAGGCGGCCGCGCCGGCTGGGCTCTGCGGGCTGGCACCCGGCCCGGGCAGGGCCCACCTCCGCTTTTCGGGTAATTAATTTATAAACAGGCGGCGGCGGCCTGGGCCGCGGCTGGGGCTGCGCTGGGAGAGGGGTGGGTGGGAGTGGGGGAAGACTCAGAGGCCCGGCCCGAGCAGGATGGAGGGGCCCGGATGGGGAGCAGAGTGCTAGACGCCTCGAGCGTGCACTGTTACCAGGAAGGGAGTCACCTGGGCATCGTCTGTCCAGGGACGGAGACCCATTCCTACGCCTCCAGGAGCAGGCCTGTGTCCTCACTCTTGGGTCTTTGCACAACGCCATCCCTCAAGGCTCTCCGCAGCCTCGATCTCCATAACCTCCGAACTCCTGTCAATACCAACATTCAGGCACCACAGAATCCCCTGAAAGGGGGGCCTTTCCCTTCCCCCCACTGCACTTTGGTTACTGGCATCCCCACATCCCTTTCAAATGTGTACCTGCCCCTCTCTCAATACAGGTGAGTGCCTCCCAACCCCCATTCCCAGCACCATATAAAGCTAGTGGCACTGTAGGGGTTTGGGACTCCCCTGCCCTGTGGCCTTCTGTTCATCCTTTTGTCCCCATGACCAAACAGCAAGGTCGCTTTGAGGACATGCTCTCATCAGCTCCTGGTCTCCTTGGTGTCCTTGGCCAGTGTTCTCTGCTCACCAGGGTTGGGGTAGTGAGAGCCCTGGGGGAGCCTGGCCTCTGGGCCACCACTGACCACCCCCACCCCACTCCCAGATCTCCTGAGGGTCCGGCAAGAGGTGGCAGCAGCATCTGTGAGGAGCCCCGGTGGCCTGGAAGTCCACCTACCCTCATCCACAGCAGGTCAGCGTCGAAAGCAGGGCCTGGCTCAGCACCGAGAGGGCACCGTGCCAGCTGGCACCCCATCTTTCTCAGAGAGGTACTGGGGTGCCCACATCAGAAAAGGCCCCATATTCTCTTTGCTTGTTTCTCAGATACACCTAGCACCTGGTTTCTGCAGGTCACGTCCACAGCCTATATCTGCCTTCAATTGTGCACACTCTCCTCCCCCATCAAAGTCACACGCTGTCATGTTGGCACAGAGAGTGTGCCAGGCAGTGTGCTGGCTCTAGGTTCATGGTCTGCATAAGGGTTCCAACACCCGTGGAGCTGGTCAGAGGCCTAGAACGCTCCTGGAATAGAATGTGTGTGGGTGACCACTCCTCTGGGCAGGGTGCTAGGGGGACTGCACTTTCTGTTGAGCAACTGTGGGACTGGCTGAATCCAGGTGCTCCAGAAACAGCAGAAGGCTTTGCTCCCGCAACAGGTAGGTGAGGGGGCTAGTGGCAGATTGGGGGAGTCCGTGCAGAGGAGGGTGTGGAGGGAGCAGAAGGCAGAAGATGGGAGCAGCGCAAGGTCTGGAAACCCTGGAGTCGGCCGAGAGCTGGGGTAGGGACCCTCCCCCCCGCCCCCCGCGCTGGTCCACCTGCAGAGGCCAAGCGGTGAGCGAGCTACGGGGCGGGAAGGGCTGCGGCGGCTCTCGGAAGTCTCCTGCCGGGCCCCAGGGTACAACCCCTAACAACGCCGCGTCCCCAGCCCTCCGGCCCCCCACCCCCTGCCAGCGCTATTTGCAGCTGCCTCCACCGCCTCCAGGGTTGCAGCTAATTGCGCCCCCGCCCCCAGCCGCACAGGGTCCGTGGGGAGCGGGGAGGCGGGGGCCCGGCGCGCCCCGCGCGGTAATTACCGCTGCAGTCGCCGCCGCCCGCCGGGTCAGCGCCTCCGCGCCGCCGCCGAGATTAATTGGCGCCGCCAGCCGGGGGCGGGGGCGGCGCGCGACCCGGAGCCGTAACGAGCGGTGGGTGCATCGACCGCCCGCGGGGCCAGCAATTAGTAAAAGGCGGCGGCGGTGGCGGCGGGAAGGGGTGGGGGGTAGGGCGCAGGGCAGTTCCGGGAATAGAGGGGGCGCGCGGGGACGGGGCCTGGCCCTGCGGCGCTCACCGCTTACCTCGTCGTCCACAGGGAGCTGTCGCAGCCGCCCCCTTTGCTGTCGCCCCAGAATGCCCCTCACATCGCCCTGGGCCCCCACCTTCGGCCTCCCTTTTTGGGGGTGCCCTCGACCCTGTGCCAGACCCCAGGTGAGGAGCAGGCGGGTGTGCGACCCTGTCCTAAGGGGCTCGTGAGCGCGCACGCCGGAAGGCCGTAGGTGTGGGTGTATCCAGGTTTGCCGGTGACCGACCTGGTTTCCACGAGTGCTCGCGTAGTACCTCTCCTCCCCCCTGCCGAAGCCAAGGTCAGACCAGGTGGGCTTGGGCGGCCTTAGACCACTCGGCCACCTGGCCTCGTGGTCTGTCCCCTTCCCACCAGGTTACGGCTTCCTGCCTCCTGCCCAGGCGGAGATGCTCGCCCGGCAGCAGGAACTCCTGCGGAAGCAGAACCTGGCCCGGTAGGTGCCATGGCGACCGGTGAGGAGGTGGCGGCTTCGCCGAGCTACACGACCCACACCGCTGTTTGCTTTTCCTGGTCCAGACTGGAGATGTCGGCAGAGCTGCTGCGTCAAAAGGAGCTGGAGAGCGCTCACCGGCCGCAGCTGCTGGCGCCCGAAGCCGCCCTGCGCCCGGCCGACGGCGCAGAGGAGCTGCAGCGGCGCGGGGCCATGCTGGTGCTGAGACACAGCTCCGCGCCGCTGCTGGCCCTGCCCCCCCAGGGACCCCCAGGCCCCGGCCCCCCCACCCCTCCCCGGGAGCCTGTCCGCCGAGCCCCTCGGAAGGGGGGACCCAGCCCTGCCTCAGCCCACTCCAGTGAGTCCAAGGAGACCACCGGGGCTGGGCTCTGGGCACAAGATGGCTCTGAGGATGAGCCCCCAAAGGATTCAGAAGGAGAGGACCCTGAGATGGTGGCTGCTGGGGGCCAGGGCCCCACCCTGGGCCAAGCCCCAACTGGAGGGGCCAGCCCTGACGGGAAGGGGCTTCTCTCAGGGTCCATGCTGCCCCCTCCACTGCCCCTGGGCTTACCCTACACCGTCAGCCCCTACTTCCACACAGGTGGGCATCCCCTCTCCATCCTTTAGATTCCTCCATGGGGAGAAAAGAATCCTGGCTTCTCCCTCTCCCCCACTACCCCCACCCCAGTCTTAGGGAGGGGGTCCATGGGAAGAAAAAAAATCCCTTTTGGTGGTCAATCCAACCTCTGAAATATTTGGGCAAAGGTCAGCAGACAAGGGTGGGAACCTAGGAAAGAGCTGGCCATAGTCCCAGTAATACCGCCCCCCCCAACACAGGCACCATGGGGGGACTCTTCATGGATGGGGAGGAGGCCACAGCCCCTGAGGACCTCAGCAAGTGGACGGTGGACGATGTCTGCAGCTTTGTGGGGGGCCTGTCTGGCTGTGGAGAATATGCACCGGTGAGGGGGTGGGGGGACACCTTCCGGAGGTGGCTCTATGTTCTCCGTTCCCCAGTGCCGCTTCCCACTCCACATCTCCCCTCAACAACAGTGTGGGGAGGCGGGAAGATGCTGTCTGCATGCTTTCCCCCCTGCGCTCTGCCACATCAGTGGCTCTGCCTCCAACGCTGGCACATATAAGCTCAACACAAAGATCTCCCTTTCATTTGCAACTTTTTCTGGCAAACTGCACCAACAGCTTCTCTTGGCCCCTTCTCACTGGAAAGCCTTGAGGCAACCCCAGACACTCTGTACTGGGTGGGCTGGAGGGACCCAGCAGGGTGGGCAGGCACTGGTCCCAGCACTCAGGCCATGACTTCTCCCTACCCCAGGTCTTCAGAGAACAGGGGATTGACGGGGAGACCTTGCCCTTGTTGACCGAGGAGCACCTCCTGACCACCATGGGACTGAAGCTTGGGCCTGCTCTCAAGATCCGGGCCCAGGTGAGTACCAGCGGGGGACAGTAGTCTCCAAACAATGGTGGGTCAGCACTGAGGCTCTTTATGGCCGCAGGGCTGGCCCGGCAGGCCCCCACCTAGGCCCATCTCTCCGCAGGTGGCCAAGCGCCTGGGCCGAGTCTTCTACATGGCCAGCTTCCCTGTGGCTTTGCCACTACAGCCACCAACACTGCGGGCCGCAGAGCGGGAGCTCACCTCTGGGGAGCAGGCCCTGTCTCCGGCATTGGCCCCTTCCCCCTATGGTGGGGGGCACCCCCTTGCTGGGAGAGCCTCACCCAAGCAAGAGAATGGAACTGTGGCTCTACTCCCAGGACCTACAGACCCCTCCCAGCCTCTATGCTGAACTGGTGGCAGAACCACCCTGATCCCCTAAGCCCTTCAGGGCCAGCAGCTCTGATACAAAGAACCCACTCCACAGCTCATCTTCCTTTTGGTTTTGGATGTAAAAACAAAGATTTTTTTAAAAGGAAAACGCTGACTTCAGAGGAAGAGTTTCTGAGACTTTCTGGGAGTAGAGCCAGGTGCAGACAGCCTGGGGACTCAAACCTGAGCCCAGGCACGGGGACTCGGTATCCTGGGTACCTGCAGACAAACCAAAGAATGACAAAGGAGACAGAGAAGGCACATCATGCCACACTGGCCTTGGCCACGCCTGCTGGCGCTCTCTGGAACTGGGACGGCTTTCTGCGAGGTGTTCAGCATCCTGCCACTGGGTGAGAGGTCAGGGCAGAGACCGCTCCAGATCAGCTTCCCTCACGGGGCTGATGTTTCTAATCCAGCACTGCGGCGTGCGGCGGTAGGCAGGCTCCACGGCGCTGGTTTCCATCCCCACAGCCGCCATTCCAGGGATCTGCACAGGGCTTGGTACTTTCTGGTCTTTCGTGTTGTAAAAATAAAGCCCGGTCCACCATCTACTGCCCTCCCCCCACTGCACGGGCCCTGGCCTTAGGGCTCAGCACTGGCCACGACATAAGCCCGGCTGCCTGGTGAGGCGGGAACGCTGCACGGCAGGCCCCGCGGGCCCCCCGGGCTCGCAGCCCTCAGTCCTCGTCAGAGAGCTGTAGGTCCTGCAACTCATCGTCCGGTCCCTGGGCCAGCTGCCACAGCTCCCCGAGGTCCGGCCCCGCCTCTGTGTCTGGGCCTCCATCTGCAGGGAGAGACCGAGGCTACATAAATTCTGCTTTATCAGGAAGAAGCCAGCCTTGGAGATTACTCATCACTAATTAATCACAGCCCTAATTAACTTATTGGTGCCACTGTTACTGGCTGCCAGAGCCAGCAGGAACACAGCAGCTGGTGTGGCAGCCCCACGGAGGGGTGTGGGCCCAGCCAGAGCCACCCTCCCCCTCAGTGGCCCCACCCACCCACCCACTCACACCCATGACAGCCTTGGGCTCCTGAACAGATAGGCCCAAAGGGCCACAGCACCACCCCCCACTCCCAGGAACCACTTACCCTTTGAATTGCTGATTCCCTCCTGGCTGCTGGGGCTGCCATCCTCCTCCTCCTCCTCCTCCACCCTCTGCCGAGCCCTCGGGGACCCAGGCATCCCTGGGGACCAAGGAGAAGAGCCCATGGGAGTGGGCCCACCAGCAAATACATACTGGGGACAGCTAATGTAAGAGTGTGGGCCGGGCTCACAGCCCCACACCCACCCAGCCCGCCCTCAGGCCCTGTTTGTACAGGTGGATTCAGAAGTGCCCAGCAAGCAGTAGGGGTGAGGGAATAAGGTCTTGGGACACGGGTTCCAATGCCAGGAGGTGCTCACCTCCAAGCAAGCAGAGTGGTGGGAGAAGGGGCACAGCAAACACGAACAGCAAGGTAGAAGCAGGCACCCTCTTCGGATTACATGCGGTGTCTCAGGAAGCCTTCCAGGTCACCCACCCCTTCCCCACAGGCAGCTCAGGCTGAGTCCAGGCCCCTACCTCTCGCTGAGAAGTCCATGGTACTATCTTCCTCATCACTGTCCAGATCAAAGAGGTCCTTAAATTCCACTCTGTCTTCATTCTTACTGTCCCCCACCTTCCGCCGCTTTATCTCTGGGAAATTCAAGTCTTCTAGCTGGAAGGACCCAAAACCAGACCAGGTGAGGGTGGCCAAGTGGCCATGGGAGAGCCCACCTGGCCTAACCCCCAACCTCCGTCTCAGCCCTGGGACCCACGCTCTGCCTCAAGGCTTAGCTCTCAGCCACAGCTGGGTCACATCACGCACCTTGCAGCAAGAGCCATGACGACAGCTACTGTCCTTCCCTCGCATTCCCAAAAAAAGACTTTACCCAAACCCTATGTCACTTTTCCATTTCCCTTCAAGCCTCGCCTCCCAACCGGTCCTCTACACAGACTCTGCTTGGCCCTTTTCTAGCCAACTCGGTCAGCATCACTGCGTAGGGCTCCTGGACAGCCACCCTGCCAGGCAGGTGAGGAGGCCCCAGCCACACACACTGCCATCAAATGCTTAGTCGCATCCACTGGCTGGAGGCCCAGCTTTAGCCCCCTACCCCTACTTTTGTGTCTCCACGTCTTTAGTCGTCACTCGCAGGGCAGACTGCAGACCCAGGACAGGGACACAGTCCTAGGCATGCCACCCAGCACAAAGCTGTCCCCTCAAGTCACACCATGCCACACCCACTGCCAGGCACAGCTCCTCCTGCCCCTCCCTGTCTGCCCTCCTGGTGTCCACAGGCTGCCCAGAGAAACAAGGTCAGTCGAGCCACTTATTCCCCCGAAGTCCCCAGACAGTCAGGCTGGAGAAAGGGCAGTGACCTCCTCCTGGGGGTCATGAGAGAAGCCGCCTGATCACCCAGTTCTGCATGACGTCTGCCCCTTCAGAGCAGCCATAGGACAGGCCCCAACCATCCTGGTGACATCGTCCCTGAGACTATTCCCTCCCACAAGCCCCCTCCTCACTCTGGTCTTAAAGTTACAGCCAGGTTTCTAGATCCCTGTCTCAGAATGAACCAGTTGGTCATGTCCACAACCCCTCCAAACCCCCCCTCCCACCCCCGCAGACATACCCGCTCTTTGCCACTGATCTCCAGCTGGATCTCTCGCTCTCTCAGCTTCCGCCACTGGCTATAGTACGTGGTGAGAGGTGTCCCCTCTTCTCGGGTCTGCTTCTCCCAGGTATCCTATGGGGAGAGGTTCAGGCTCGCCTGAACCTGGGGAAACCTCCAAAGCCCAGCACGACACTGACTGGTGTCTTCAGGCAGTGCTGCCCACCCCACCCGCCCAGGCACCAGCTCCCAACTGACCACTGCACGTCGGTCAGCCACACCGAAGGAGGCCCTCTGGCGGCGGCTGCAGATGTACTCAGCATTCTCCTGCACCTTCTCTAGCAGCTGGCGCAGCTGCCGGCAGTAATTGGCCACCTTGCACTCCCGGAGGAAGGATTTCAACTGCAGAAGGAAGTGGGGGCGGCATGGGGCTCAGCCTAGGTCCAGGCAGAGAGCTACTCTGCACCCCATGATCTGCCTGGGCCACGCATGACCACAGGGAGGTGATGGGGGAGCAGGAAACACGGGTTCATGTGTCTCACAGCCCTAGCACACACGGTTGGGGAACAGACCCCAAATGTACACAGCAGTTATGCCGGTATGGGGGGGGGGCCTGCATGACCCCCGGTGCCTGGGCCCTGTGGGGGCTGGGGAGCAGACGGCCCACCCTACGGGCCAGGCTGAAGAACAGGCGGCAGCAGTGGGGCAGCATGGGTCCACCCTCCAGATCAAATCCCACCCTCAGCCTGTCTCTGTGAGTAAAGTTGTACCAATGCACATCCGCACTCCTTATGCGCTACTGTGGATTTTTTGTACTTCAAGAAGCGACCTGAGTAGTTGTGAGAAACCACAAGACTACAAAGCTTAAAATAGCATTTAGGCTTTCGGTTGACTGACCCCTGTTCTAGACCAAGATTCCTGGGACCTGGAGTCCAGAAACAAAGCCTTGCAGACACAGCCACATGCGTCTGGATGGGCCTCTGAGTCAGGGGCAATTCTGGTGAGGGCAGCCCACCCACCCCTACTCACCAAGCAGGCCTACAACTCGGTGGGGGGGGAGGGCGTTGCTGATTCTGCCCACCAGAGCCAGACAGGGACAGGACTTGGCCCTTCCCGTGAAAGGCACCTGCCTCCTTGAGATGGGAAACATCTGGGCTGAGAGCAAACGGACCTCTCGCGGGCCCAGAAGGGACTTCTGAGAGAAAGAACTCCAACCCCACCCTTCTATCACCTGAAGGAGAGCGGAGGCAGGGTCGTTGGTAAGGCTGACAGGGACTTCCTCCTGTCCCAAAACTACATCCAGGACCACCTGGGAAAGTGTACAGTCGGGAGACCAGCCTGACCCAGGGCTGGGGGGCCGGGGCCAGCCTGCTCCACCGGGACTCTTCCTGGGAGAGAATGCTTGGCCGGTCTGGTCCCTGGGCTGTGGCAGACCTGGGAAGGAGCAGGTGAGTCCCAGGGTCCCTGTTAACTTGCCTGAGCCAGCCCCACTCCTCAGGGCTCCTCGCCCCTATGTTCGTCTTACCTATGTTGAGGCAGTGCCAACATCAAACCCCTTAGCAAGTTAGGCTCTGCTACGGACCCTGTGCGGCCCTCCTTCTGGCCGGCCCCTGTGTAAATGGGAAGCTGGGCCCGTAGAGACAGCCTAGTCTGCTGTAAAGCACACCACCAAGGGACCTGGGAAAGGAAGGGGGAGCCGGACAGCTGGCGCACACCTGCAGGACGGCGGGAAGTGCCAGTTCGGGGAACGCGATGCTGTGGGCTTGGCTGTGCAGATACCCCAGGATGAGGTCATACAGCTGCTCCACCAGACCGTCCTGAGGCGGCAGAGAAGAAAGGAGAAAGTCAGGGGAGATGGGAACTCAGCCGCCTTCCAGCGCAAGCCGATGTGTCAGCTTACCATCCGGGGTGGAAATCGGAGGCTACGACTCCACGGCCTCTCCAGAAGCCACATCCAGGCTCAATATGGCTGAGGCCAAGGAGGACCACCTCCCCACCGAGAGACCCATGAAGGGCCCACACAAACTCCGGAGAGCAGCAAGCCCCCTTCTGTCCACACTAATCTGACTCTAGTCACCCTGTACCCTGACCTCGGTGCCCTGGAACATTCTGCTATGACCCCACCCAAGGCATTCCCCTGACCCCCTCCATGGGGAGGCCTAGAGGCCAGCCTTACTCGGTATGCCTTCTCCTGCAGGTTGACCTTGGAGAGCTTCAGGATCACAGTGAAGTTGATGGGCTTAGAGCTCATGCGCCCCGGTCTCCTGTTGAAGTCAACCTGCTGGAAAACCTGTCCCAAAGGCCGCATCAGCTCGGCCTGCTGTGCCTTATGCCCCACTGCACCCCATTCCCCATCTGTACCCTGGGTCCTTA